GCACACACTCAAAACCTGATGACGGGAACTTTGTAGGATAATAATTAATTTATTTAATTACATCGACATATTTTATACGCTGAATAGGATATATAAAGAAAAGAGGATCCTACAGAACATACAAGTATATATAAATTTTCAGCGTCATGAGCTGAGTGGATTTAGACCACGATACAATCTCCGAACAATTTTTTCGGATCGGATCACTATAGTATATATATACAAACTGATCGATCAAAACCGAGTACTTGTATGGAAAACTTTTTTTGTCAAGATATATTCACGAAATTTAGCATAGACTATTGCCCACGATAACGGTAAAATCTTCAAACAAATTGTCAAGATCTGGCTACTATAGCTTATAGCTACCATACAAACTGACCGATCAAAATCAAGATAAAGGTCTTTTTATACCCTTTTATGCTATATGAAATGCACCTGTGAAGGGTATTATATCATCGGTACAGCCGAAGTTGTCGATTTGGCTTGTTTTTGAATATGTTAAGTAGTTGATTAAAATATGCTAACTTGCCCAGGTTAATCATGTTCATACATAACTGTACCGTCTTTTTTTTGTTCAAAAAGTACCGCTAGTTTTTTATTTCTTAAAAAAGTTATTACTTATTCATGAATATCTATTTTGTCCCTTTCAAAGTAATCACCCCTAGATATAATGCAATTACGCTATTGGGTAAGTAGATATCGGTGAAGATATACATAGCCTGCGAATACACGTAGCCCGCGAAAATTCGCTATAGTTTTTGAACAAACCTCATTTTTAACCAAAAACAACACATTAATGGCGCTGCAGCCAACGTATTCCCCAGACCTGGCCTTTTGTGACTTTTTTTTTGTTCCCAAAATTGAGGAGGCCCATGAAAGTACGACGCTATGCTACGATTGTGGAGATACAAACTGCATCGAAAAAGGAGCTTAACAAGATCACAAAAAATTACCTTTTAAGTGCTTTGAGGATTGGAAGAAAACGCTGGTATAAGTGCATTATATCCAGTGGTGATTACTTTGAAGGGGACAAAATAGATATTCATGAATAAATAAACACTTTCTTAAGAAATACAAAATTCGCGATACTTTTTAAACAAACCTCGTAATAAATATGAGGGTATAAACATATTTTGTTACATATTGTCAATATATGTACATATGTATATCTATACTTCTGTACATGTAAATTCATTTGCGACGATTCAGTTTCAAATTCCATACTGCATACCTTTAGGCGCGCTGTGTATCGTCTCGTGTGAACTTATCTTGCAACTGAAAGGTGTGTACGCTAGGTGTGGCATTCTAGTTGCTTTAATCAAACGTATATATTTTTGTATATTTGTGAATATACATACCTCTATGAACACTCGCAGATATTCAAGTGTATTTACATTGATGTCCTTATGTATACGACACGGATCTTTGTAATGTCCTAGACCAACTTTTACACAGCTGTGCTCCAATTCACCATTTCCCAGCCGAGTCGTCGTTGCTGCTTGTGTGTGTTTGTTGCTTTTTTGCAGCCGTAACCTTTTTATTTGCTGTATAAATGGTGGAAATAAAAGGTTGTCGTTGTGGCGTCACAACATTTGCTTGGCTACTTTCGCTGACATCCTTTTGGCGCTGCCACCCTTCGTTACGGTAAACATGCAGAGATACAATTAGGTGTGCTCGCACACACTTATATGCATACAGTCATATGTGTTGAGCCGCGCTTGTTAAGGTTATATGCATGGGTAAATGACACAAGCGCACGCCACTGGCAATTTCGAATTCAAAGAATAAAGCGTGAAATAAAAATCTGCGTGAACTCAACTGTGTAGTTTTTAACCAAATATTTTGTTCATAGTGAAAATGTAACTACCATGTATTTATATCAATTACTGTATCAAGCCAGCAGTTCACTACTTGGTTTAGTTGAATGAAAAATAAGTCAAGCACGCGGCACTTCGCACCGAGTGCTATCGACCATTGTACTTCCGGACACTGGAAAAATATAATTTTCACCACTTGCAGCAGCCGTCTCCTCCACTTCTCACTTAAACGGAAACGCATAGTTCGCCATTTTTCCGCAACCGCAATTGCTTCGAGCCTCGTAATTTGGTGTGCTTGTGCTTAAAATGTGGCAGGATACCACAACATTCTGCAGGCTGAAAAGTGGGTGACGTAATATTCCTTTCAGCGTAGTACATTGAGGTGAATTTAAAATGCATTGCATACTCAATGTGACTTTTTATTAACCAGTGGTGGTTTACTGCAATTAAGGGCAATTAAAGTCAATTTTATATGAGATGTTCGCGATGTTCACAATATACAAATATATGTGCATTAAATTTTCACATTCGCATTAATGCTAAAAGATTCCTTAATAACGGGTGTGTTTTTTTTGACGTTTAGTCTTCAATTACAAGTAGGCTATACTTTTTTCTGAGTTAATCTGCGCACCAATGACGGTATTGCTGCTTTAGAGCAGCTTTTCGAAGAAGACTGTAACTGGAACCGAAACGAGGTGGTCACCGATCCCGATTTTCACAAGACATTTTTTTACGTTAATAAAGATTTTCATTTTTTAATCCAAGATGTTAAGGATTAAAAATTGAAAATATTTTTTTCTTTTGATTTGAATGAACGCAAATATGTTAATTCTAAAAGATTTTATTTTTTTAATTCTTAATAGATTCTTGAGTATAAAGTTTTTCTTTTTTTAATTTTTAAGCCGGTATTTGGGATTAAAAATAAAAGCTATGATTGATGACTTTGACGATCTTTGGTTCCAACAAGACAGCGATACATGGCATAGAGCCAACGAAGCAATCAATTTATTGAAAGAAACTCATTTTAAAAACATAATAGCAATTTTTATAATTTAAAGCGTAACTCTTGGCTATAAAATTAAATTATATGCGTTTTATTTCCTCTTGAAAACCACAAGTCGAAAAGTAGCACACTTTAGGGCATCCATGAAACACTTGGATTTAAATTTATTGTATATGAATATTATTATTTAAAATTTCGAAGTATAATAATAACGTTATTTTTAACAGAATTGGGGGGTTATACCCACTTGTGAATTAAAAAAAATCGAGTTTTTTGCATATAGTATGTACCGGTTGGTTGAAAAGTTTCTGCGCTCGAAATAAAATCATACTGTTTTAAGTACGAAATATATTTTTGATTCAATCTGATCTCTCTTAACTTCAATACACTTATTCCAATGATCCTCCAATAATTTTATGCCATCCCTATAATGACTTTCCGGAAGCTCTGCAAAATACCCGCTTCTTCATTCGTCGAAAAACGCATTCTTTACTTTAAACATGTTTTTCCCGAAACATTGTTTTCAGAATATTTTGAATGCGGTGATACTCGGATACAATTGACCATATTCTCTTGAAATTTTAGCCTCACAAAAATATTATGATATCTAGTAAACCAACTGGTGATGTTGAGGAGCAAGAGAAATAAGATAACTCTCAAAAGACTTCTTAAGTTTTCGAACTTTTAAAATACATACAAGAAAACTAACTTCAAACATATTTTTGTTCAGAAAATGAGTTTTTGTGTGAATTATTGAATATCCAATCACATGTTAAATATGAAGATTGAACAATATACAAAGAAAATTCTTCAATTAAGATTTCTCTAAATGTGTTAATGCAAGTGATTTTCTCTACAATGATATCTAAATACATAAGTACATTGCCCCTTGTATTTGTTCCTCATATCTTTTTCGTTTAAAGTTAAAAATATTTTTTTATATTAATTGAACCAAAAATTGTGCAATCTTTAAAATGCAATTAGCCATGGGATACTGTTTTGCCAATATCTAAATTTGTACAAGTATGCATGTGCATTCGGCTAAGCATGCCGGTTTTGTGAGTTCTGTGCTTTCGCCTTTGCTGAGCTATTTATATTAATTGTTAAAATCATGTAAATATTAAGGTTAATACCTGTAATGGAAATTCTGTTCTAGAATGGAACTTTTTTTATTGTACATATTTATTTATCTATATTATTTTAAAGAAAAATAATTTTTTCTAGAAATGTTTGTCATTGTGCGTGGTGCAAAAAAAAAGAGAAAAGTAAACAACTTCTGTTTGCTGAATATCGTAAATATTTTATGTATTCTATGTTAATAATGCACACATCATATATGTAGATAAAAAGTGATTGGTAATTCTACGCTAAAAATTGCCCACATTTTTTAATTCCTCTATGCGTTTCATTTAGCATTATTTTCACAAATTGAGGAAATATTTTTACAAACACTGACAAATCTGGGTGGGCTTACAATTTCCTGTAAAAAGCTTACGGGCGTAATTAAAAGCTTTATACAAAAGTTTATTTTAACCATTAAATATTTTAAATATGCATAGTATACAAAAATCTTTTATTTTTAATTTGTTTTATAATTACTTTCACTTATTAAATATATTTGTGTATACCCTAGTCATGTAACACCCAAAAGAAAATGTCGGAGACCTTTTGAAGTATATACATATATAAGTGATCAGCTGAGTCGGTTTAGACATGTCCGTCTGTCTGTATATACATATAGCATATAGCTGTCATGCAAACTGAGCGATCAAGATCAAGATAAAGATTTTTTGATTCCCTTTTATGCATCTGTTAATAAAGTTAACGTTTTTTCTTGTTTTTTAATATGTTCGAGTCTTTGAAAGCTTGAAAAATACATATGTATATTAATTTGCATATGTAAATACTCCATGTATATGTGTGGATATATTGTCTAATGTTAATTCTGCTTTTGTATCTTTAAAACGATTTTAAACTCAACAACACCATATATTTTTATCTATTTAACTTTGCATTTTTGTACACCGACAGTTGGGGAACTTCGCTCCCATTGTCCAAGAGTTCTTTACAGTTGCTTGTGACAGCAATTGTGTTGCTTCTGAATTACTTATTTTTTCAAGTTACAAGTTTTTCCTTAGTAATCTCTTTATCCCGTGTTTTTTTATTTCTCTTTACAGACTGGCGTAGCACTGACAGCACCGACCACCATGATCGCGTCCAACGGCAATTGTCCGTATCATCCGATAGCAAATTGCTGGACGATGACATTCGAGAGGAGACGCGCGTTATTATGCGCCCGAAAAAGCCGCCCAGACCGAAATCGGAGGTTTTCCTCAACAAACAAGACCCGCACCCACGACGGAAACGGTTTAGTGCATTTGGCGTAAGTATCTACAATACTATTTACTACCAGCAATTATTTTCGTATATACTTGTATGCATGTACATTGTACAAATTTATCATGGGCAACGGCAAACGATAATACAAGTAGAAAGGTAGAAGAAAGGAAGTGAAACACAATAAAGAAATAAAACGGAATAAATATTTTATTAAGAGCAGTAGATTAGCGAGGCAAAAAATATATCAGAAAAAATTTGAGTGTTATATTTCTCTCCTTGTTCCATTCCTAGTCGAAGTACGATTTTATTCGGTTGTCCTTTGATGCTGCTTGTCTATTTTGGACAATTAAAAGCAACATAAAACGCTAAATACCTACTTCACTGTCAATCATTGCTAATCACCACACACCATTTTCATAATTTTTTATTTTCAAAATGAAAGTAAAGCTTTGAACACAAAGACGACTGCACGATAGTGAAATTGTCTTGCTTGCAAATGACGTCTTGAAGCCAGCTTCATGAATTTTTTGAAAACGGCAGCGACATATCGAACAGCTGATTTTATATGTACAATAGTTTGACAGTCGGCATATGTAATTTGTTGAAATTGGGTGTTTTTTAGTGTGTTGTTTAATAAAAGTGGGCAACCAGGAAAATGTAATTAATTTTGTGACGACGATTGCTAAAATTACGCGTATTGTAAATACGACTAATAAACTGTATAATGGAGCTCCATGGAAGCAACCAAAGATGGTGGGTACGTCCGGTTAACCTTTCACGCTAAGAAGATTTTTTTTTTAAACGTGCGGTAAGCAGTTAAAAGAAAAGGATGATAAGCATTTTTTAAAGCTTCGATTTATTGTTATCACAATTAAAGAAACGAATGGAACGATTTTCCAATAGAAAGGCAATTGATCCCGAGACGCGTTAACATTAATGTAAAATAATTAGTACACTGGTATACTTAAGCGCTTAACAAATTCAGTTTCTTGGCACAAGGATGTAATTTTCCTGTGATTTCTTGGGCTTACAAACTGGGAATTTTAACAGTTCGGATAATTATATATGAAACATGTGACGCTATTTGGAATGAATTACACGTTGTCTATTTGTCACCTCCAAACTTAAGGGAACTTAGAGACATTGCATTATGTAAAGACTGATAAGCCAAGTAGCTGCCAAGCAATTTAGATGGGAACCACATTCATATGACAAGCCCAAAGAATATCGAATCTTTGTAGTATAATTACAGGAAAACGTTTAGCATTTTATTAATGCCAGCATGTGATGCTAATTACGTGTTCACATATGTAGATGTCGGAGCTCTAGAAAGCCAAAGTGACGGTGGAATACTTGCTCCCAGTGCCTTTGGAAGCAAGTTGTTGAATGGCACTCTAAAAGTTCCTTGTAACACAAACTTACAGGGTACATCGACTTGCTTTCCATATTTTTATGTCGGCGACGGAGTGTTTCAACTGAAACCAAATTGATTACGACCATTTACCGGCCGCCAGCTGCCAGAAGATGAACACAAAGGTAGCTCAACGTTGTCTCAAGCCCGAGTGCACATAGAAAACGCTTTCGGAATTTTGGCCAATCGATGGAGAGTTTTGCATACAACAATACATGCTTGCCCAAAGATTGCTAAATTGTTTTAGCTACGGTAGTACTTCAAAACTTTTTTATGTTTCAAAATAACAGGAACTGCTTCACCCTCGAACTTGTTGACCGTTGGAAAGAAGAAGTAAATTCCCTTGAATCGTTTCAATCAAGAACTGCTGATCGCTCATCCACAAACGCATTTCGGTTGCGTTAAAAACTAAAAGAGTTTATTTCAAGTAATACTTTGTAATATTAATTATTTTCATAGAATATTATATTTGTCAATAAATCACAAAGCTTCTTCTACATTACAAAAAAAGGTTTTCAATTCAAAAAGTTACTTTACTTAAAAATGGATGATTACGCACTTCTTCAATCAACACCTTATCTAAATTCATTGTTTAGCTTGAAATATATCATTTTATTTGTTAACAAAACCTAATTTAACAATTAAACGTAAAAAATCTTACCAAATAAAAGTAAAGCGCAGTGAAAGAAAAATAAAGCAGTTTGATTTTAACAAAAAGAAAATTTTTTGTGCAAAAAAATAAGTAAATAGGTCGATTCATTGTTTTAAATTATCAATTATTTTTACAAATGATATATCAAGCTATTTTATGCTTCTGTTGGTCTAATAACGTTAGACTTGATAGAGCTTTGAATAATTTTATATTTCACATACATATGTAAGTATTAGTGGCAACACTACAGCTGCCCATTGTCGTTGGCAAAGTTAGATATGGTTTTGATTTAGGGACATTGACAAATAACAGCAAGTAACAAAAAATAACTGTGCCCATAAGAACGTCCGATTTAGATAAAATATGCATCGTTTTGTTCGATAACTTGTTGCCAATTTAAAGGTAATTTCATAATATATGTAATTCTCATAGAAACCTTCGTCCTTATTGACAAAAAAAACTAGAACAGTAGGTTTTCACAAGCTTCCCTTGAGGCGAATTCACCTGCAAAATCATTCGTTATACTTATATAGTAGGAGCAACTAGGAATCATTTGGTGTCAGGTCCAAACTATAAGACAGATGCATAAAAACATCACCACCAAGCTCCCGGAGCTTCTAGCGAGTCACTATCGATATATGTAGCCTGGCGTTGTCCTGATGGAGTACAATTCCATTTCTGTTGACTGAATTAAGAGTTGGTCAGAGGGGAGCAGCTTATAGCAGCAAACCCTTCCTGACAACAAAATAAATCGATTTTGTTTCGATTCAGGAGCGATTCGCAGATGAAAGTTCGGTCCATGAGGTTTTCTATATGTGGCACCCATACATCGAGCTACTTTTTACATCCAGCTTTATTTATATGGTACTAAACGGTTTTTGTGCCATGCTATGTAGCTCCCAGACAATCGAAACTGTGCTTAAATCAGACTTAATAATTTGTATTACTTTTATCGATTTTTAGACAATTGAACTTCCAGAGGTTGGTACATCTTTGAGATCAAAATATGCGTGTGTCCATCTTTGACGGGTGTACTGATTCAAGGAATCACAAAACTCCATTCATATATTTAGTACGAAATCTCATAAGTTTAACGCCATATTGCGTAAGCCAAACGCACTTATGCCACGCAAGATACAGATTAATAAAGGCATATATTTGTATTTGCAAAATAATAAATTTTTTTTACTGTGTATATATTTTAGTTTAATTAATGTATAAACATACATATGGACATGAACTCTATAATGTACCCTACCAATAAAAGAAGAATTTCGCATCTAAAACACCCTGTTCTTGTAATTGTCCACGAACATATGTGTCACTCTGTAGCAACACTGCAGTGCTTGTTACAATCACACTTTCAACCACCAATATATAAAACCCACTATTCTGCGCATGCATACTGTAGCAATTCTTCCATAGTTTAAAGGTGTTGAATTCTCAACTGGTTTTTAATCTTTGCAACATAAGTAAAAAGATATTAAAGCGTATGTTCAATTTGTTAAATCAAATTTTTGATCTCTTTGGAATTTATCTTGGTGGGACCCTTACTTAGTGTATTGAGTGTCCCGATTTTGAATTCATTTACTTACGACAGGTTAGAAGATGTTTATTATTATTTCAGGAGTTTTCTTTATTTATATTATATTACATTAATTTTTTTTACTGGGTTACATATAACGTTCGCATATTGCTGGGCAACTCTCATTATTTAACGCACTGACAATTTGACAATTTCTATTATTTTCCAATATTTTTAAAAAGCCATGACGTTGAACCGCTAAGAGACTATTTTCAGATCTACCGCCGACTTGTTGTTTAGAGAAATTGGTGGTTTCGGAACTGATTATTAATTCCATTTGATTTTTAGAGACTGAAGAATTTTCTTTGTAGTTTAGCCGAACAGATTCAAGAAAGATACGATACTTAAAGTATTAGACAGTAAAAACTGTTGCTAAATGATTTTTATATATAATTTTAAATTGCTTATTAATTCAATAATGTTGACTTATTTATACTAATACACAATAGTGTTAGTTGAATTTAGGGTAGGGGGTTTTGTTGAAGTTTTAGGGAGATACATTCCCAACTATCAACACTGCTCAGCATAGAAATCAAAATTCAACAGATTTCCATGTCATGCCCTGCGTTCGGTAACCAAATATATGCAAAACGGACAGATTATTTATGTGACAGTTCTCATGTATGGCAGTGCTATGCTATGTATGCATAACTGGGCCTTATAGGAACTAATTGATTAGAAACTTCTGATAAGCATCGCTGTAAATAAATGATGGTAGACAAAATAACTAGTATAAATTTTACCAAAGACAAAGAAAGAGTCTTAACTTGAAGGTTATAAATATAGTTTGCTTTTTTAGGTTGTGAAACTGATATGTTTCAACGTCAATGTCTTTCTCACTCGTTGTTATAGCACGATTATAATTAGCAACAGTTAAATCAATTTTGTGTGTTTTATTCAGATATTTAATCAAACTAGTCGTATTGTTATTATAATTCAGCTGCTTTGCACATTTAATTCACTGGACATTAGATCAAATATTTTAACAATTTAATTTTAATAATTATTGAAAAAAAAATTTTGTTGTAAATATATAAATAATAAGTACTGGAAATAAATATAGATAAATTTGATTAACTATCTAATACACGGTTGGTTATGATATGGTATGTAGATGTAGAGCTTGAAACTAGTTATCTAACCGTAAAATCGAATGTCAAGAATCGATTCTTGATCGATTTTGGAAGGTAAAGGTCGACTCCGAAAAATCGATTGTTTTATGAGAAATATCGCTTTACGAGTAGAATCAGAATCGAGTAAATTGTAAACAAAAACGAAAACACTGTTGTTAAACCGTGAAATAAACTTAATTTATTAGTAAGTGAAAAAATTGTAGTGAAATTAAAATAATAATGTCGCGTCAAAATATTTTGGTAATTTTTAAATAAAAACATTTATCTATTGACAACATAATTGCCAATTAAGTGACCTAATTAATGTGTAACCATAACCGTGATTGTGTTTCATGCTTCAGATGTAGTTTTAGAATGAAATTCATTTACGTTCTCTGGTTTTACAATACGCTTACAAAATAAAAATCAAAACTGATCAGTTAGATGTTAAATTCAGAAAACCCAAGACACTTTTGCATAATTTTGGGGGTTGAAATTTATTGGCTAACAGAGTGGCACACATATCGTTAATTTTAATATTTGCTTCTACTCACAGGGCGACTCGCCATTTGGAAAATCGGATGCCTACATAAAACTGGAACCGCTCGGTGAGGGCTCATATGCTACAGTATACAAAGGCTTCAGCAAGTAAGTAGTGCATTTAAACTGTTTTAAATTATATTATATATTTAGTAGCTGAGACACATATGTACACTTGCCAGAAAAAGTGTCCGTACCTGCATCAAATTTATTTATTTAAACGCCAATCGGCAATATACATAGATATAATAAAGAATTAAAGTATTATACAAAAGTGGCTCGGGTATATTAGTGTAATATCTGGAAAATATTTAAATAATTGTAAGTTAATATGTAATTCAGACTTGATTTAGATGTAATTCAGACGAGCAGGTGTCTCTTGGTGTTTTCGGTAAAAGCAGCGTATGTTCCTCCATAGAAATCAATTTCACCTTGAAGTGAATTTACTAAACTAGCCAGTCTATTCTGAGGACCATGGATAACATAATTTTTCTTGGATTTCGATGTTTTTAGTAATCTATTTCGCCTCAAATTAATATTATCATACTGATAAATTTAATACATGCAATTAATTGGACCATTTTCTTTTATGATCACCTAATATCAACATTATTTCACAATTTTTTTATACTAAAGCACTAGTTTTAACTCAAAAAACTTAACTTAAACCAGAAAAAGTTTCCGTACACTTTCAAAAGGGAAATTCCCCTTGTAACCTAACAGTTGGAGTTTGGTAACGATTTTTGGTTCCAACATGGCAACGATACAAAACATTCAATAAACAATGTGAAACTGTAGCAACTGTTGTATATACTACCCCAATACCTAGATCTAAATTCTATAGACCATTTGTGTCGCAAATTCGCCGGTACAGCATTACCGCGAAAATAGTGCCAGTCAGTCAGAAACATCATTGCGGAATGGGGTAAAATGAGTGCACAGGACACATCCAAATTGGTCCATTCCATGCCACGCAACTTGCAGAGAAATAGTTAATAAATTTTTTATTGAAATGTTAGTAAAAATGAATGAATAAAAATAGTTATTATATGTTTAAAACAGAACATTTTTACTATCTAAGAAATCGTTAAGACTTATTTTATTAGACCTGGTGTACGGAGATTTTTTTTGGCAAGTGTATATCTTTTAAAAAATTTGTAAAGTGAATAAATATCACTCTTCTAACGATTTATGTAAATCATAAAAGGTAAGTAATTCGGGTTGGCCGAATTCTATCAAAGTGCAAGCGATTTGTTTGTCGCTAATGCCACCCAAAAGACCGACAAATATTTATTAAAAATAAAAACGAGATGAATGTTTGTAACGATAAGGCGAAAAAAAGGAGGAAAGCTGTGACTTCGGTAGTCTTTCCTCAATCTTATTGTGCCGCAATGTCGCTTTTCCATCCTTGTAAATTATGCTTCTTACTTAGTTTGCTGCTTATTTTTCATCCTTTAGGTTTTGAAAATTTGACCCTTTAACACTAGGCTTTAGGTGAATTTGAAAAGGTCGAAGAAGAGAGAGGTGTTACTTGTATCTGTGCTTGTATTATATACATAAATATTTGCACGCTTTAATTCCACTTGCAAAGAAGCGTAAAGAAAAGCGAGTAGAAAGCTGAAATCTTATTTGTATTTTGATTTATTTGCTGGGCATTGTGTGTCGCCAATATATGGCGTTGTTAGTATTAAGGGTGGTGTTCTTTTCGCCAGTTGTCCCTTTTGTGACATTAGTGTCACCAACTCACACCGCAATCAATCACAATCAATACCAGCGGGTTTGCCTTTTGCCGTTACCCAATCGGAAGTGTTACGCAAGAAGTGAATGGGTAGTTCATAAATGTTAAAAATACCTTTAAGTTTCTTTAGTATTTTGTTGGATAAATATTTTTTTTTGACAATACTGGTCAGTCTGTAAGTGGCAACTAAATTGTGGTTCATTTTGATCACAAGAATATTTATACGATGAACAAAGTATTGATATTAAGTTGGCCACGAAGTTCGTTACACTCGGAAAAAAACATCAGCGACCCCATAAAATGTATTTAAGTATTAATGATTAGCGTGACGAGTTGAGTTGATTTATCTATGTCCATCTGTCCATCTGTAGGTATATACGTAAACTAGTCCCTCAGTTTTTGCGATATCGATGTGAAATTTTGCACACGTCCCTAAGAAGCTGCTCATTTGTCGAAAGCGTATAGCTGCCAAACAAATTGAATGATCAGAATCAAGTTTTGTATAAAAAACTTTTTTATTTGACAAGGTATCCTCACGAAACTTGGCATAGAATATATGGTAAGACAACCCTATAATCTGAGAATAAAATTTTCAGATTGGATCACTATAGCGTATAGCTGTTATAGAAACTGACCGATCAAAATCAAAATCCTATATTAAAAAGTATGTTATTTAACAAGATGTCTTCCCGAATTTTGGCATAGAGTATTATCTAAAGCAACGCTATAATTTTCGCACAATTCAGATCGGATTACTACAGCATATATGGTAGATGTCATACAAACTGACCGATCAAAATGAAGTTCTAATATGGAATTTTTTTTTTATTTGTGAGGGTATTCTAGCTTCTGTGCAACCAAAGTTATCGTTTTGTCTGGTTTTGGTTTTAAGTAATTTGTATTAATTTCTTAAATTTATAACTCTTACCGCTTACTATTCTTAGTTCGTAAAGCCTGCGCCTGTACAGGATCTTCTCCAACTCTGCTGATTTTGCTTTCAGCGGAAATGACAAGCCGTTATCAAGCATTAAGTTGACAACAGCAATAAATATGCCATTTAAGAGGTATATATTCTCTAAGAACTTCAACTCAATTCATGTGCTTCTTTGTGTGCCGTTTAGTAATTTCCTCTCCTTTTTCTGACATAAGAAAGCCTGAGAAGTGAGGCACTTTATGTCATTGTCAAATCAGGGCGGTCATTTTATTAAGGTGCCATACGTCACTGCAATTTATCAACTGCCCACACAAATTTATAATGTCTTGTACTTCAAACGTGTAGAGGTTTCTTAGTGCGTGTAGGCGTGGTAACAAAAGATGGAAGTAATGTAAAATTTATAAAGACGGCAAACTGTCTGCGCCATTTTATATTATTAACCCCGAAAAACGCTAAATGTATATTTCAAGTTTTTTCTGCTGTATATATTTATTTTTGTTTTTGACGTTTAAAAATTGTCAATCTAATATTCTGCACACGGCTGTCAAGTAAATGGATTTCAGTAAATTTTTCGGTATAATTTGATTTATGCATTTAGTTTTAGATGTGATTTTGGTCTAAGTAATTTATTCTCAAAATCTAGTTATACTCACGAAAAAATGGTGCAATTATTTGGTGAATTTAAATCACCACACCTTAATTGCTTTTGGCGATGACAATGCACTGCCAGTCATATCTTTGCCTCCAACTCCTCGAAGTCTGCGTGTAGTTTTGCATTATTTGTCTGCAATCTGATTCTTGTTCGAGATATAGAAAAAAACTTTTCACTTCGCAATTCTAATTTTCATGAATTGTTCTTTAGTTTTTCTTTTTCTACTTTTGTTTTGTTCTCGTTCGCTTGCTTGTTCAACATTTTTTACATTTGTACAAGTTCTTCTTTTTTATTTTTTTTTTGGTTTCTCCTTCGTCATCTTGACGCTTTCCCCCCACTTGTCACTGCTTCTATCATATCGTTTCTGGCTTCGTTCATCTTTGTTGCTCGACTTCCTGGATATGCTGGAACCGCGCTTGGTCATTCAGTTTACTTTCCTCTGCTCCGTCCATACCGCAATTACTGCTGCCGAGAATTGACAATTTCTCACAATTGCATGAATTTCATGAATGATTGCATTTGGGTTACTGTTTCCACTTCTATTCTTTGCGCTCGTTTCGTTTTCCACTTCCGACAACTCATTATGGCACAATACTTCGGCATTGTTGTGTGTTTTGCTTCATGGCCAGCCAAAGAGTTTTACATAATTCGCTCCTACAATACAATGATGAACTTTGTAAATTTACTGGTAAACAAATGAGTAGGGAATTTGTTCACAAGCCTAATAATTCAAAATAAAAATTATTATTTGTGGAGATCAAACTGTCCTTGTTCTCTGCAAAATGCCATTGAAATTACAGGCCAATTCAACACTGGTAAAACTGTACGATTGTTTAAGGACAATTTTAGAGCGTGATATATTAAAGTGTGATATTAATTATTATTATTGATATAACAGTAAATTAATCTTTACAAAAGCATAATATATTAAAATTATGAAATAATTTTTGAAAATATCGTCGGCAACAATAATTAAATATCTTACATGTTCCGTCCGTCCGTCTGTCTGTATATACGCCCTCAGTTTGCTCTTCTGAGCGAATTTCAGGATTTTGACGCCTAGTCCTATGCCGAACAGTATTTACATCCTGTTCAGCACCGTACGTTTGACGACTAGTTCTGTGAAGAATAGTATTTAAACTTTGTTCAACAGTGCGCACTTTAAAGTTTGAATTAAGTTCACGGATACTATATATAGATATGTGTATGTATGTACACTTATACTTTACTTTAACTACTGATCTTGCGTTACTAAAAGTACAAACACACAACCACAAACAACACACCAAATAGGTCCTTTTTCAAATATCACGTAGATATGTGTACACTAGCGTAATCATATCTAATATAACATTTAACTCATCAAAGGTACAAAATTTGTAGAAACACATAATATGTAGATATATTTAGTTATAAAACCACCAAATGCACCAACATCTGCGGAGCGGATGTAATAAAAAATGTGTACAAATATATATGCCAAATATATAATATATATAAATAATAATAAATAAATTATATATATATTAATATAAATTAAAATTTACATAATTTTCCATTTTTCCTGACAACACAACACAGCGAATGTATGAAAAAAAAGTAGCAAAACCAATAACAAAAATATGAAAAATTATTAAAAAAACAAAACTCAAAATGTTGTAGAATAAGAAGTAACAACGAATTGAGTGCGAAGCAAGAACTCTGCCTGAAATGTGGTTACGCGGAGTGAGATGGGTGCTGTTGGCAAATGCCGCTTTTAATACATTTTTATGATTGCATAAAAC